CTCATCGCTTCCACTCCAACCAGAGACGTTTACTACTGCAGTGCAGTAAAGCTGAGCATCGTTGGACCCAACCATGCCATTTAAAAAGTAGTTGGAGCGTATTGTCTGAAAATGCACAAATCCAATAGAATTCTGAGCGCAGCTTGGGTTGGAGGGGGCATTCTTCTGGTCCCCATTGATCACTGCCGATACCTCATGCAGAGACCTGTGACGTCTTGTAAAGCTATGCAATAAGGTAGCTCTGCTTACACTTACAAGAGTCCACAAGTCGCAGCAAGGTGAGCCGTGTAAGTTAACAGGAACTAACAACAGAAGCTTGCGAAAGTGCAAAATGCCCCTCTAAACTGGGCAGCGCCAAATTCTGCTCGACATCAATATTCCACCTGTACGGGGCCTTATTGATGGCCTCATCAGTGGGTTTACACGGCCCTTTGGGAACTTGAAATTGACTGAACCATGTGATTTCATGGTTTCGGCCTCTATATAGAATTTCAGTAGTTCTGATTTTATTACCTCTTCACCAGCAATTCGGACATTTTTCGGTGTAGCGTCATTATAGGAGAACTTCAAGCTGTACTTCTGGTTCGGAAGTGCTGAACATTCGATCACATAGTCATTGCCCTGGAAAAATATGGCGATTACGATTATTGAGGGGGGTTACAAGTGAAGGCAGAGAACGATCCCTTCGAGATGTTTCGCGCACTGTTTTCCGAAAACTCTCGAAAACTACCGCACACGTCGCGTGCGGCGAATTGCGAGGCAATATCTGAGTTGCGCCAACGTGCTCTCGCGAGTTCTCATTGGACCTGCAAGGGCATTGCCCTCCCTGGCCCCGTTCGTCAAAAAAAGCAGTGGGATGGATTTCTTTACAATGTGAACCATCAGACCAGAACACTCTTACAAGAGAGGTCGGTGAGTCGGCGGTGATTATCTTCAAAAGTGGTTTTGTGCATACTGGTAGTGTGGCCACTACGAGGAACCAGAAAACTGAGGTTCATTCCGCGGCCGCTCGCGCTGTTTGGAATAAAAGAAACTTACAAAACAGGTCGATGGTGGCGGAATGCAGAGGACAAAATCTTGGCTGATTAAGGAAAGGTATAAACGTTGGGCAGCCCAGCCGGCCCACGCCTCGCTGGCTGCATGGCGCCCGGCGACGCGGCGCGAGAGTGAGAGACGAGACAGCGGAGTAATTGTTCTGAGTCCACACACTATATCATGCTTGGTTAGGGGGTCGAAACTAGGGCCGCTGTGACAGAGCTCGTTTCAAATTCGACCACGGACAAGGGGGAATGCTCACCAGAACTGGGTCGAAATTTCCGAAAAGTTCGAAAATTTTCCGCTTGGGCAAGTATGGAGTTGAGATTATACTGGTAGCCGAAAAATAGCCTACCATATTGGTCGGTCAATCGGAAAATCCAACAGCGACATACTGGTTATTGTCGAGGGCGATGGAGAAAAGTTCGATTCTCATAAAAGAATCGGTTATCACCTGCAATGGACATTATTCTTATTTGAGGCTTCATAGGCGCGTTTCGCTGATGCTAAAAAATCAGAAAAATATTGCTGGGAATTCGGCTGATCCCTCTGCCCTGGCTCGGATCGGAAGACGTGAACCCTGTGAACTTGATGGGGTGCTTATGCAGAATACCGTAGGAAAAAGCATGTTATGAAGCCAAAAGGTCCACAGCATGGCACCCGTTTATAGGATCAACACCGGCTACCACCCGTCAAATGAGTTGATTCAGTGACTTCAGCAACCTGCGCTAGCAGCCTAGCATTTTGTTCCGAGCATCGAGTGAAACTTTGGGACTTGAGACTTCAGTCTTCTAATTCGGGGCGTTCCAGCAAACGGGCGGGACGTTTGTAAAAGGGGCATGGTCTCCCACTAACAGAAGATTTCTGATTAGGCGCGGCTCAGAGAAGAATGTTTGGAAGAGGATCGAAATTTCGCAAAAGTCGCAACCTGGTAAGAGAAACCCATCCCGTTGCATCCGCCATAGCACTCAGACGGTAGAACACACTGTTTATCGTATCCGCACGTAGTTGCATCAAAATATTCCTAAACATATTAGCGATCAACCGCGACAGGTCGTATTTCAGATTTTATTGAATTATTTAATTCATTCAAATGCATATTTTTGTTTGTTTATTTGCTTATTTATATTATGAACTTCATTCATGAGACCGGTATAACATGCGACGAAATAACAAGTTTCTCATCACCACATTATCGGCAAATCATTCTTGTTTGTTTTTATTTAGCTATTTTCTGTCTCTGACTACTATTTACTTGATTTTACTCATTTATTTATTTTTCGCCTATGACGAGAAAACCCTCACTTGAGAATCAACTGTACAGACTTTTCATTCAAGTTCCTTTCCAGCTTTGTTTCACGGGTTGTGTTCTACGGCGCTACTGGACAGCTGGGAAATAGTATTAGCATAGGAAAAATGACGGGTTTAGACACGCCTCCCCCCCCTCCCAAAGATTTCTTGCTTCAGGTATTCTTCCTCCTGTGCGACACCCTGCCCTCCTACCTAACACCTTACTAGGTTTCCCAAGTTCCTACCACTTTCCCAACTGTTCCCAGTTCTCCAGAAATGTTCCTAGTTGACGCGCTGTCAGTTAGAGGCGAGTGGGGGGGGGTCGGGAACAGTAAATAAGCGGAAAAAAATTATCGCGGTAAGGGTATTAAATTGCCAGGACCTCTTACGATCCTGCTCGATTAAATACGACCCCCATCCTCAACGACCAAGTACGACTCCCCTGATGGGATTCTCCCAATGTTGCTGCCCCTCGAATCAAGTCAAAGAGTTCACGAGTTTGGGCGGCGCTTCTAGCCAATAATCTTGAAAAGTAGCCAAAAGTTGTACCTTCAAAGGAATAGAAACGTAGCTTGATGAATGTAAACTATATAATTAAATTAAATAACTATTTGATAGTAACTATAACTATGAAATAAATACAATCAAAAAATGAGCATTTCTAATAAAGCAATTTATGATCACCTCATACTGAGCCAATTTCGTGGCATAAATTGAGGTGGCCGAATCGGACGGTGTTAACAATTCTATAAATAAAGCATTTTGAATACTGCCGTGATTTGAGAGCACGGCTCGCCCATCTCATGGCGAAGTAGTGGAGGACGTAGTGGAAGACCGACTCCGCCCACATGCTAAGCGCGGAATGCGCTCTAAACAATAAGCAGTTACCATTATTTGCCGTCATTCCGGTGGTGAGAAGAAGAAAATATGCTTCATACGGTTTATATGTGAAAATCTGAAATGAATCGATTGTAAAAGAGGCGTGCTTCTCCTCCCTGGAAAGGAAGAAAAAGGGCGCTGTTCGGCTTGAGAGGGGCATTTCGTCCTTTCGCTATGAGACCTCTGAGACCTCGCAAAACTGCGATGTGGAACAGGAGAGTCACTTTGATAAAAAATTACAGGTCTTCACAAGGTAACTTGTGTAGGCGTCGCTGCCCCCACAAAGCCGAACTGCGCCGAACATGCATTAGAATACCCGCATCGCCTTCACGACAGGTGGACCCCCTGTACATTCACCAGAGCCGAGCAGTACACCTGTCCATCTTGAAACACCGCTATTTCGTCCGTAAAATATTGGACTGCGAATTTTCTAGAATATGCTCTGTTAGATGGTTAAAGGCACACCCCACTCACAATATTGTGCTGAGGCAGAATGATACCCTCAATATCCCTGCTTCCTGTACACACTCTTGATAGCGGGCGTCCTGGCCCCGCCCCTTTGAGTTACCAGGGCTTTAGGCTCCAACCGGCTACTTTGGAATGCGCCGTGCACGTGTCTTTCGCATGGGACTAAAACCCCTGAAGTGTAACTAATGAGGAATAACGGGACATCTGTTGACGAATCCATTCAAAAGTCCCGCTATGAGAGATTTTGTGTCCATGGCGATAGAAGTCCGACCAAAATGACAAAGGGGAAGAAACGGGGGCGCATTCAGAGCA